CTTACCTTAGTGTTCTAAATAAACTTGTTTATATATACTACTAAATTATAACTTTAGTGGATCAAATATAGTATAGCTTACCCCTTAATAAAATCTTTAAAAATCTGTAAATTAATTATTATATATTATACTATAATCTTTTAAATTAACTTTTTAATATTGATTAGAATATTAATTATGATATAAATACAATAAAATAATCATATAAAATTAGTGAGTTAAATAGTTTTTTAAAAGGGGTAACCTATACTATATTTGATCCACTTTAGTTTGCAAACTCATTAAACAAACTTCTTAAAAAATAAAAAATTTACAAACTTAAAGTTTTCTTAAAATTATACTAAGAAAACCATCTATACTCTTTAATACAAACTTATTCAACTTCTTTATATGAATATTTTATAAAGTCAAACCTTTATATAATTACCAATTTTGTTATACCCTAATATTAAGATTGTATAAAGTCATAATATCATATGATCTTCAGTCAATCAATAATTAATTGATAATTCATTAGTTATGATTATCCTACATTTTAATTTTTTTATACTAAGTTAACATCTTTGAGTCTCTAAATAAAGTTGTAGAGCTCATTAAGATGAATCTAATGGTGGTTAAATCATTAAAATCGGCCTAGTAGATGCTGAGATATCTTCAAAAAATGTTTGCATTGTTTTACAAAAAATTTTATATAGTTAGTAAAACATTTTTTAAAGATATTTTAGTATTCACTAAGCCAATTTTGATAATTTAACCACTATTAGATTCATCTTAATAAGCTTTACAACTTTATTTAGAAATTTAAAAGTATTTAACTTAGTATAAAAAAACTTATAATTAATAAATTTAATTTAAAAATTAAATTTAAGGTAATAGTGATTATAAGTGATTTGTGACTATAACAAGGTTTTTGCATTATGTTTTAAGATTGTTATATAAAATAGAGTGTTTAAATAGAGGTGTGACTATATGGAGAGTGATTATAAAGAGGTCTGGCTATATATAGGATTTTTGCTAGCAAAATAACTTTACAAACTATTGTTAGGGAAGTGTCATTTATCATCTGATTATTTTAGAATAAGGTTCCCTAACAAAGTATCATGTACATTGGTATATGATTAATCAGTTTTATTATTGTTAGAAATGAATATAGCGAAAATGATTGGGACCTATAAATTTTATTATGTAAGGGAGAGAGGAATATTTACTATTTACAAAAAATCAGATGATAAATGACACTTTCCTTATATATAATTTTTATTAAGAAAACATACTAAATTTAATATTAGGTAACTAATATAAATAATATATTATTATGAATATCTTAGATCAATTACAAAAAATAATGCTTTCAAAGCATCTTTGCTAGTAAATAATTGAAAAAATTATTATTTGAAAAATTGCAAAATCTTAGATGTTAGCATGTCTTTTATATATTGAGTTCTCAAGCACTTTCAATATAGATGTATTAAAAATTTCTGTGACAGATATTAATAAAATCAAGATTTTTTTGAATGGAATCTAAAGTTAAAATTTTAAACTAATTAACAAAATTCTTGGTCATATCTAACTTTTTTAATGTTGAACTACAGTCATACCTCATTATAGTCACCTTTGATATAGTCACAACCTTGTTATAGTTACACTATTTCTTAATCCTAGATATTATAAAACATATAAAATTTGCCCTTTATATTGTCACGCTTTTTTATAATCACCAAATATTTGTTTTCCAACCTGGTGATTATATCGAGGCCTGACTGTACTTATATAATATGGTTATTATAAAAGTTTATTTATATCTGAAGACTTATTATATTTCTGGATGTTCTATAGAATAGGTGGGCAAACTCTGCCAACTCCGCAACTCTGATATTAAAAAATTAATGATTACTAATCATTAGCAAAGCTTATTTCTTATATTGCCCACCTATTCTATAGAACATCCATATTTCTTGTCAATATTTTAATCTTTTCTATAAGTTTTTGCACAAACTAAAAATATATACAACAAAAAATTTATAACAAAGAATATGTCAACATTTATAATGATAAAATGACCTGTAAAACAGGTATTATATGTAACATGTCTTACATATATAGTGAAAGAAAATTACTACATATTCACATAAGTATGTATAAGTTCTAAAGTCAAAATTATATGTAATTTTTGTTATATGAATAATGTTGGCTAAAACTATCACATAAAGTCTAATAATGCTGGCAATACTTTATAATGTAGTGCAATAATTAGCACTATATAATTTAATACATACATACAATTTTGTAATTTTATTGAATCTATTATTGTTATGCTAAGATAACAACTTAATTAGATCAGCAGAAAATTTAGTTGGCTAATTTTAATAGCAGTAAAATAAATTTTATAGCAGGTTTGATGTGATGACTATGGTCGCTCTCAAGCGCCTCAATCAATGAGTCAAAAAATGTCAGAATAAATTTTACTTAGAGGAAAATATTTAAAATTAATTAAGCGTGTTTATCATTACGATGAATAATTAATAAAGTTTATTACGTAATAAACCATTTTTTATTAGCAAAAGATATTAAATGAATTTTTCATTTCAATCAACAAACTTTTTACAACATACCACCTTTTTTTATACCTGCCTTTGAAAATTATACGATCAATAGAGTATTCAAAGAGATCGCTCAAACAACTTTGCAATGGATCATCATTTTCGACGTCAGCGAATTATTATTTTACTTCTCACATCAAAAGTTTTTATGAAAAATAAGGAGACCGTTCAAGTATTGACTGCAATGTTTGTTTTGATTGATTGTAATAAATGAGCACTAGTACAATCACTCACTAATCACATCGAAAATGATGCTTGAGAAGATTACAATTACGTCATAAATTGCATATTCGAATTTTCATCAAAAATTTTATGTAAATATAATTATGCTTGAGCACTATTACATCACTTGCTAATCACATTGAAATTGACGCTTGAGAGCGACCTATGATTTTTATTGACTAATTGTTGTAAAATGTTGTAGACATAGGTCGCTCTCAAGCGTCAATTTCAATGTGATTAGCAAGTGATGTAATAGTGCTCAAGTAGGGATGCTAATGACTTAATCGACTCTATTCATTAATTGGTTTTTATAATAATGAATATACAAGCCGAATCAAGCCGTTAGCATCCCTATGCTCAAGCATAATTATATTTACATTAAATTTTGATGAAAATTCGAATATGCAATTTATGACGTAATTGTAATCTTCTCAAGCATCATTTTAGATGTGATTAATGAGTGATTGTACTAGTGCTCATTTATTACAATCAATCAAAACAAACATTGCAGTCAATACTTGAACGGCCTCCTTATTTTTTATAAAAACTTTTGATATGAGAAGTAAAATAATAATTTGCTGACGTCGAAAATGATGATCCATTGCAAAGTTGTTTGAGCGATCTCTTTGAATACTCTATTAATTGTATAATTTTCAAAGGCAGGTATAAAAAAAAGGTGGCTTGTTGTAAAAAGTTTGTTGATTGAAATGAAAAATTCATTTAATGTCTTTTACTAATAAAAAATGGTTTATTATATAATAAACTTTATTAATTTACGATTATTCATCGTAATGATAAACACACTTAATTAATTTTAAATATTTTCCGCTAAGTAAAATTTATTCTCCGACATTTTTTGACTCATTGATTGAGGCACTTGAGAGCGACCATAATTTAAAATTTTTGCCTTAATTATAAAACACACACAAATTTTTCAAAATAAACATGAATAGGTATTTTTAACATTATGGATTAGCAAAGATCGAATATCTTAATAATTTATGCTAGAAATGTTTTTGAATATTATTAACTATGAATTTTTATTATTATGAACTTAGCATTGTAGCATTGTAGTATTCTGTTTGTTGCCTATTACAGTGAAGGTTTATTGTTTAATATACAGTGCCTGTCATAAAGGCAACCCCTCATAACTTGGGTTATAATAAAATATGCCTGATTCTTTTTATTGAAAGATATACGTATTTAGGAAGTTAGATATAAAATATTTTTTTAAAAAATATTAATGAGTCAGAAGAGTGCTTTACAAAAAAAGGTTTTAACAATATAATAGTTCTAAGAAAAATCCTTATAATTAAACAAGGCTAATTCATTATTTACTGTCTGGTTTATTAAACGTGTTGTTACGCAAAAAGACATAACAAAGTAACAATTAAACTTTTTATTCATGTAACCTTATAATAGTCTATACGAAGCTTATAGTTGTAAATAGGGCATGTGGGCATGATGCTAATCATCACATGGAGATTATTAATTACACTGTGATGTTTATCATGGGATGTTTTAGGGTGTTATGCTGTGCTCCACATGATGATTTTCTGTGCCCCAACCCTAGTTGTAAAGCAAAGCCTCTAGCTGTCTCACAAAATTTTGGCTTTACTTATTTGTGCCGGTAATACAAATTCCTAATTTAGTAATAGCCAATAAAATCTCTGCACGTGATCACGTGCATTACATGATCTACATTCTTGACTGACCCTTTTAGAGACCATCAGTAATTTGATGTTCCACATTTGTGCGTGATTTATGTGTGATTTATGGTTCCACATTCATGCATGATTTACGTGAGATTTATACACAATTCTATTTTCCATTTTTTTTTTTTTTTGCATGACAATTAGTTAGTTGCATTAGTATATTAAATATTATTATCATAAACTACTTTACATTAGATTGTTAATTTAGCAATTAGCTTTCAAACTAATTTTTATTGTTAGAGAGTTAAGTATATAATATGGCAACGCAGAACTACTTAATTGAAAAAGTATTATAATTTATTAATATGAGGAAAAAAGATAAGTTTTATTACAAATAAAGTCTTTTTCTATATTTTATTAGCTAAAATTTTGGTTACTGTTTTTCAATTCTAAGATTTGGAAGAAGGTTAATATTTTTGTCTTTGTCTACCCAGTCTCCTAATCGGAATTTGCTTTCTGGTCTTCAAACTTGTTTAAGAACATGTTCCAGTTTATCTTTAACTATTTGTAAGGGATTAACATTAAGATCTTGAAGACCTTCTATCATACTTTTAATATCATGAAGAAGATTATCAACAGTTGGCTGCTGCTGTCTAAGGCTGAGATCGAGATCGGTAAAGTTTCCGTTGTTCAGGTTGATTTTTTTGTTGTGAAGAGCTAGAGGTAAATAAACAAAAAATAATTGCAAATATGTGTTTGCAGAGAAGATGTCGTAAACAAAAATCATGACAGGCATATGAAAGTTGTCACTCTAGTTCTGTATGAAATTCGTTGTCTCTTTCTACAAAATATCTTAAGCCTACTGTTTCTTCTAATGCTACAGTCCAACTAGAATTATTTACTACTATTCAAACTTTAAACATCAGGTTTACTCCTTTT